GTATCATTTCGTACGAGAAATCATAGAAGAAGGTGGAGTCACGGTGAAGAAAATTCATACTACGGAGAACCCTGCTGATATGCTGACAAAAGTGGTGACTGCGGTCAAGTTTCAACATTGTTTGGATTTGATCAACATTGTTGAACACTAAAGATTGAAGATGAAGACACAACCAAAATTTGTTATTGAGAGAAAATTGAAGATGTGGAATTTTGCCAAGGTGGAGATTTGTTGAAATTGGCAAAAGTACCACATCGGTGGATGACAATTTTGAATGAGAATTTCACCCTATAAAAGGAGGCCTAATGTTTAGGATTTATATACACCTCTCATTTGCCTTTTATCTTCTTAAGGCATTTGTATCTTCTCTCTTTAGTATTATTTCACTTGTAATTTTGCAGTGGAATAAAATATTGATTGTGTCCGAGGAAGTAGGCAAAATTGGCCGAACCTCGTAAATTCTGGTGTTCTTTTATTGTTGTCTTATTGTCTTGTTTATTATTTAGTGGTTGTTATAATTTTTGGTATAGTAGTTGTGACTCATTCACACTATATACATTTGGCTTCCGCAACATACCTAACATTACGAAATAGAAAGACACTATAATTTAGTCCAAGACTAATTCATGCAGTGTCAATCAAATATACATACACAGCTTCAGCTACTTTAGATGAGCCCCCACGATCTCGCTCAGCTGGAGAAACTACCAAGCAAGTCACCCCTGTCAGAAGGAACAATTTTAGTTTCAAAGCAACTGCATAAGTAAATTTCACAAAAAAATTAATTACACTGGAGAGTTACCAATGACAGAGTTGTTCACTTTTCCACCATATTTCTCGATTTTCGATTTCCAGTATTGCTGTGCAGAAAACAAACTCTTAGCAACACAAAAACCACACTATATGAGGCTGAATTCATTCGAACAGAAGTACATACATGGGTTCGTGTAAGACAACCGGCTAGAGATATCATCATCCCATCAAATGGTTTCTCTGGGGCAGAATATTTCTTTGGCGGGCGGTTCTTCTTCGGGTCTCCATGTTTCTTGATCAGCTATTACAATATAAGAGATGGTCAATTTTTTGCCCGATTTTCCGGTCTTACAACAAGAAAAGAAAAGATAAGTAGCACATTACATCAGAGACTGGAGTACTTTCAACAGATTTAGGGAATCTAAGAGAGTCTTCTCTTCGAAGTGGTTCCCTCGTGCTGTAAATACAACTCGACCACTCACTATAATCTCCAACACAGTGATAACGGTCGCCAGAGCATTCCAACATGCCACCACAAATGGGACAGTTGTCCAGTGGCCCGTAGAACATTATGTCTTGACTGTACAGGAGAAGGGGAGAGGATGAGCATATACAAGTATCACAATAAACCACATATTCATCTACTAAAGAAAAATTTCAGTATATAATGGAAATTACATCCATCAGTCTGCTTTTAGTACAGAATCTTCCTTCACTTATACTATAATTAGATACAACAACAGCTACTACTACTACTACCACTACACCTTAATCCAAGCAAGTCGGGGCCGGCCATATGAATCCTCACTAGTCACATTGTTCCATTTAAGCCCATCTTCGTCCAATATCATATAAAATTAGTTTCTCTAGCACTCGAAGACTCTACAACAACAACAACGACGAACCCAGTATAATCACACAAGTGGAGCCTGTGGAGGGTAGTGTGTACGCACCATTACCCCTACCTTAGGGGTCAAGAGACTATTTCCGATAGACCCTTGGTCGAAATCCACCAATAAATAAGATTGCTCGGAGTTGGTCAAAGCAAGCATGCATAACCAATCACAACAGAATAGGTAAAGAAACGCAATAGTGAAAAAGTCAAAAAAGCAATACTAACATTTTCTACTAGCATATATATGAATTTATAATAAGTCTAACAGACTAGACCTAAAGTGAATGTACTAACATGACTAAGAATTAGTCAGGTTCCAACTAAACTGGCGTGGCCTATGCGGTCATTATGATAGGATGAAAAGTTAAAAGAATTATTTTGGACAAACTGGATTTACTTACCATCTAGGAACAACAGCATCATCGTCACAGGAAGAATATTGGCCATTCGCTTCAAGAATTTCGCGCATTTGCTTGATGGAAAGATGCTCAGCTATAGCCTTACAAAACTTCTCAAACTCAACTCTGATATCGACCATCGATTCTTCACCTTCTTGGCCATTATCTTCCTCTGTTTTTGCCTTCTTTGGTGAGGCAGAATCTTGGCTCTTAGTTTCTGCCTTCCGCTTCCTTGTCATCTTCCTCTTTTCACTTGCTGTGTGCGCTTGAGATCGGGTCTCGTGAACCTTCACATGCATAACGTACAATACTACTTTTGTTAACACATTTTCGAGTTCAACTTCTATATACTGACTGTGTAAAAGAATACCTACTCGTACCTAGCCATTATAAGTGGAACTACCAACTACAATCTACTATAACAAGGGCAAAGATCACTTCTAACCATGCAGCAGGAAGTATTTCCAGTTGCTAACCACAAAAGTGTATAAAATCTGTATATTTTCTGTATATAACATATAGAAATGTGTGTATATGTAAACAAAAAAAAATACTCAGTGTGTTCCAATTCATATGATCTTGTTTGATTGGCCGCGTAGTTTAAAAAAAAAAGAAAGACTTTTGGAATTTGTGGTCGTAAACAAGTCATAAATGGTTCAGAGTATTTGTATGGTTATAAAAGTTTATCATTAAGGGTGAAATTGGAAGTTTAAGCTAAATTGTTTCTAAATTTAGAAAGGGGTCACTCTTTTAGAAAGATCAAAAAATAAATAGGTTCATATAAACTGGAATGGAGGAAGTACACATTTTTCGGCTATTATCTTGAGAGTGACTATACAATGTCATTTTCCCCAATAACAATCTATTATAACAGGTTAAACTACATGGCTAGAGTAACAACTTTTTACATAGGGTATGAGTTAAGACTTCAAGATAATGTTGCATAGTTCTTATAAAATTTATATATACCAATAGAGAAAATTAAAAAAAAAACGTTTGTTTCAATTTTCTCACACATTAACCAAATACTACAAAATGTTCATACATTTAGAGGCTTCAAAATTATCCAACTCAACCCACAACACCAACACTAGCATGAATTATGAGCATCAAATTTTACTTGAACCAGAAGCTTTACTCACTCACTATCCACTAAAAATGCACTAATTAAACATGATTACTACATCCACAAACTTACCATATAAAACACATGCATGACATTTTGCTTCCACAACTTTGAGAATCCTCAATATTTAGTGAAAACCAAGGACCCTTTAAATATTCATCAGGATTTAAGAAAAGAACTAGGAATTTCAAGAACAGTTCTTAGTGCAAGCATATTATTTCTATTTCAAGAATACTTCTTAGTTGTACTACAAATTAGAATTTGTAAAAACCAACGAAAGATTAACTTGGTAACTAATTAAAAACAAAGGTAGAGCAAACTTCCATTTTCAAGATTGAGCTAAAAATTACAGTGACCATTTAGTATATTACCAAGAAAATACTTCGAAAAGGCAAATATAAGAAGAAGAAGAAGAACAACAACAAACCTTCATTTTAGTGTTTTCCTTTGGTCACCACTAGAAAAAGAAAGAGTCAAAACAACACGAATACTACTAAATTGGGTAGAGAAATATATATTCCAAAGATTTCTCGAAATTCTTTGTACTACTCCACTTGATATACAGAATCAGAACAGAAGTGGAGTGGTACTCTCGAAGTTTTAACTCATTTTACAATTACCAACAAAAGGGTAGACGTGCTAGTGTTGGGTTTTGGATCGTGGTTTTGTGTGTCATTAGTATAAGGTGACAAGTGTACTAGCAAATAGTCACTGCTTGACACGACTCGAGCAATAGAGTTTTTGCTCCATTATGTTATAACTGTTTCATGCAAGGACATGCTTTAACGTAGAAATCAAATCTAAGTAAGTCGATTTGAGGTAGGGGTGTTCCTTGTTGGGTTTTTCGCTATATAGAAATCAAATCTGATTTTTTAAATATTAGAATTAAATTAAATTAATTAAGTCGACTTTTTATTGATTTTGTTTTTTTTTTGTTTTTTTTTTATTTTTTTACTTATTTATTAATTTTTTCTTAAATATGAGACATACATTACCAAACTCATATTTCGGCAGTTATATTTTTAACATAATACTACCAAATCAATTGCTTTTTGAAAAAACCTATCATTTATCGAAATATATTGATAATAATTGACTCAAATAGTGATGAACAATTTAAGTACTCAATTAAAAATTAATTATTTTTAACATGAAATAAATTTTTATACTTAACAAAAGAAAAGTACCAATCAAACTAGAAGGCAAAGAATTAGATTATTATAATAGCAAAGAACTAGACTAAAAATACAAATGACTAATATATATCATAAAATTTTATAATTTTTATATAAAAATATACATATATATAGGTGTAATAATAAATTTAAATAGCTAGTTTTATAGTTGGTTTGGTTTGGTTTTTCGGTTATTTTTTTATTAAAATCAAAACCAAACCAAATTTGATCGGTATTTAAAATTTAAAACAAAAAACAAACCAACCCTAAAAAGTATCGATTTTTGGTCGGTTTGGTTCGGTTTCGATTTGGTTCGATTTTTCGGATTTTATAAACACCCCTGGTGTTTACTTTAGGGAGCAATTTTTTTAAAATAAACATAGTGTTCCGTTCAGGTTACATATGTCTTTACTAATTTTATAAGATATTTATTATAGCTTGTTTGGATGGTTGTTTAACTTGTTAGCTATTGTATTATATTGTTATTTTAAATATATAATATTTTAAATATAGTATTTATTTTGATTATTACTTTAATTTTATTATATTGTATTATTAAATCTATCATTATGTAATAACGAAATATTACTTATGTAACGACTATTTTGGTGTAGTCAGGTCATTATAACCTTATTTTCTCATTTTGCCCTTCTTTGTTATTCAATAATCTTATTTTTTAATTCTATATTTTTATATATTAATTTTACATTGTACTATATTTCTACTTTGTACTATTGTTAGTTTATTCTTCATATTTTTAATGGTTGGCATTTTAAAACAATGATGTACAATACAATCTATCAAAATATTATATTAATCAATATAATATAATATAATATTATACATATATTATGAAGTGATATATAACAACTCTCCGACAAGGGTGGCTCACGAGGGAGGCTAGTAAAGCCTTTGCTTTAGGCCTGCTAAATTTTGGGGTCCCAAAAATATTTTTAGTTGTGAATTTTCTATTTTATTTTCTCTTAGACAATATTAAAGTTTATAGAAAAAGAAATACAAACTCCTTATGAAAGTTGAAAGAAACTATCTATTTTTTAATAATACAAATATTTTAGAACTTTAAATTAAGCTACTTAAATCTTCATATAGGTAAATAATATTTTTTAAAATAAGATCCAAGGTAACACATTATAAATACGTAGGTATCATCTTATTAACTTGAATTTTCTTATCAATATAAATATTAATGCTTCATATTATATGTCGTAAGATAACTACACTACAAAAAAAAAAAAAAAAAAATGTAAATATTAATATTGTATGTTTTATAAGATACTACACTACAAATGATTTTTTTTTAAAAAGGTCCCNTAAGATAACTACACAAAAAAAAAAAAAAAAAACCAATGTAAATATTAATATTGTATGTTTTATAAGATACTACACTACAAATGATTTTTTTTTAAAAAGGTCCCTTATTAAAATTTGGCTTTAATCCATAAATTTTATTTAGACACCTTGTTGTCCAAACAAGTCGCAAGAAATATGTTTTCTTACTTTGTCTTCCATAATTAAAAACCAAAATGAATGATGCACCTATGACTATCTGTGTTTGTGTTGAGCAGTGGTCAAAATTTGACTTAGCAAAATTGTGTGCACTTGTGAAAATAATTATTATATATATACACGCACTACTCCCTAGTCCCTAATCCCTAGTCCCTAGTTATGTAAACGTGACCGAAGAGAAAATATAATGTAGTACAATTGTTTTTTGTTTTATTTTAAATTAATAAGTTATTAGGTGCACCAAATGAGCTAAGGAAAACCTTAGTCATATATGACGTTTATACCAACTTAATAAACATAGTATTGTAACACGTGCTTCATATAAATTGTTACTATGGAATTAATAGGCAGAATAGCTCGTGATCTCCTGAATTGACAATTTTTATTTAGTTTTTCTTAAATTTTACGTGTGTTTTAATACTCCTGAACTTAGTAATTTCAGCCTCGACCCCTGAACGCTAACAATTCGTGGAAGTGTGACACCACATGAATTTTTTTGTCCATGTAGTATTTTTATAATAAAATATATATTTTTATCTTGTTAAGTCCACCTACTATTGAAATTGTTTTTTTCGTGCCAAAATTTATACTCTTGAAACAACGATATTTTGACTATAATTTTTTATTTAGCTAAAGATAATGATATTTTGATCAAGTTACTTTTTAATATTTGGTTAGTAAAAGAAAGAATACACAATTAACATATTATCATTGCATCTAAAAAATAAATAAATGCATTGTTGGTACTCCATATATTGGCTAAACAAATATTTTAGCTAAAATAGTAAAACTCCGACCAAATATTTATGAATTTGACTCGAAAAGATAAAATGCATAGTTTAAATAAATAGTCATTGCATGAAAATAAAAATTAAAACACACAATAATTTTTTTCTTTTTAGAAAATATACCATTTGAACTTCATTACTTTGGCTAAATCTCTTTTTATTTGACTAAAATAAATGGAGTTTCAACTAACTCTTGTAGTAGATTTGGATCGGAAAAAAGAAAGATAAAATATACATAGTTGAAACATGTATTCATTGTATCTAAAAAATTACATTTGGGAAAAAATATGCAATGTATATTAAGAAGAAACAACGAGAAATACAGTTGGAACAAATATATTATTATATATGATTATGTGACAATTAATATTTGAAAAATACCCCACTTCAAAGCTAATTTTTTTGATTTTTCTAGAAGAGAGTGTATTCATGCTCTTTGCCACATCATCAGTGGGGGACAAGACTATCAATTTTGTAAGTTCAAGCGATATTAAAAATCACGTGAAATTTAAGGGGGAACTAAATAAAATTTGTCAAGTCTATGGACCGGTCCTTTGCGGAATTAATAATTTGATACACATTTTAACTTTAATCGTTATCACCAATAATGATATATAATTTATGTTTACCCCCAAAATCGGATAACAATTGAATTTATACGCATTTTGAAAGATTTGTGATCTAATTTGATACAAAGTGAGAAATAAGATTTAATATAGAAGAATAAGTAAAAAAAAAATAAATGCAAACCATGCAGATTGAACAACTTAAGCCTCACAAGATTGATTTCCTTTGAATTTATATGTGATATTATTGAAGCCAGAATAATATAAACAAAGATGGAAAAAATAGTATTTTGTTCTCTTTAGTATGTTATCACGTGTCTAATGAATTACTCCATTTCCCTTTATATATACAGGGAGATGAAACCTTTAAGACATTATTTTATAGGAAATTATGTAGACCGTTGGCTCCCTTTTTGACTTAATCCCGTAATTTCCGTCACAATGATTGATCAATGGCGAGAATCTCGGATACTTGTCGTGTGAGTTGGCAAAGCTTTTCTTCGAGGTCGTTAGAAGCGGGGTCGGTCGTGCCCCCGATAAACTCGAGGGCAAATCTCATGGTCTTGTTCGAACTTTGATCTTCGATATCGAGCTCAGTTACATCTATAACTTCGATCTCTTACGTAAGTGCCGAGCCTTGACCTATTATTCCAGATGCCTAGATCAAGCATAGAGGTCGGTTCTACCCGTATGCAATTTGTGAAAATATTGAGTTTACGTTAAATTTTCTGAATAAGCTAGTGGCGGTAGTAAGTTGCCAGTTTTTCACAAGCTAATCCGGCTAGTTATAGCTTAATAATAATGCTCCTAATCGTGCTAGTCACGGAGATATTGCTTATCTGGAAACGAAAATTGGGATGATGCTTTAAGTTAGTGGGCTAAGTTAATTTTTGAAGCCTAATTTGTGGTTTAAAATAAGTGGAAAATAAGGATTAAATTAAAATTTTATAAGTCTAATTGTTTCTAAATATAAAAAGATAACATTATTTTTGAATATACTAAAATGTGCCATATAAATTGACACAAACATAGTATATGTGTGTAAAGATCCGACCGGTCGTTTTGAGCATTTACGTTCTTTTTAGCTATTTGAAGTGTTGAGTATCTTCGTATAATGTATTATGACTTGTTTGAATCGTCGGTTTTGTTTTCAGGTGTTTCGGAAATAATTTGAAAGAATGAATTTCATGTTTGAAGCTTTAAGTTGGAAGAGTTTACCAAGTTTGACTTTTTAGTATTCGACTTCGGATCGGAGTTTTGATGATTCCGTTAGGTCTGGATGGTGATTTTGGATTAGGGCGTATGCCCTGAATTTCATTTGGATAATTCTAGAAGGCCTCGACGCTAATTGGTGAAAGTTGGAATTTTGGAGGTTTGAAATACTCACACGTTTGACCGGGAGTTGACTTTTGTAATATCGTATTCAGATTGTGGTTCCGAAAATTTCAGTAGTTTCGTTATGTCATTTGGGACTTGTACGCAAATTTTGAATTCATTCGAGTTTAACTAATATGGTTCGGCACGAGTTTTGAAAATCGAAAGATCAAAAATTTTCTAAGTTT